CATACACACATACACATACACACATTTACTTGCTTTTCACACGCGCACGCTTACACATCGTTACGAAATGAGCACATACACGTGTGTAATAATATAATATACACAATGCAATTCGCAAAATACATAAATGGATATATAGTCATTTACATAACATTGTACTGAACATGAATGTACTGACATCAAAATGATGTCATTAAATATGCCTTTAAAGATTTTTAAAATTTAGACTCAGATGTTGTATGTCTCAAGGGTTGGTGAATAGAGTTCCAAACTAATGAAGCAAGAGAGAGAGAGAGAAACTGTTCAATTCTTTTAACGTTTATTATACTTACATTGTGTACATTTTCTTGCTTTTTTCACAAATTTTGAGCACATGCAGCCGACACTTCATATTTTTAGTAATTAAGAAAATTTAAAAAGAAGAATACAAAGTTTGGGCTAGGTAGGCTTGAACAGCTGATCGGTGATAAGAGACCCTGCAGCTGTAACTGTTACTGTTTGATGGTATCACTTTTTGAAAAGGTGGATTTCTTTCCTACTTCAGTTGAATCCGGAGCTGACCATGAATGGACTGCGTATCAACGCACTGGCTCCGTCCTTCGTGGACACCCAGCTGTACCAGGGCCTGTCGGACCAGTCGACCATCCACGTGCCGCAGATTGCTGAGAAAATCATAGAGAGGGTGGGAATTATGACGTAAGCAACGCGTGACTTAATTTTTAAAATTAAAATGTAGGGGTTTTTACGTCCCCGTCGACGCTCAGGGATAATAAAGTACATGTATTATCTTTTTTTATTTAGACCCTTCAGGAGATCGGCTTTGACCTTGTACCGAAGTAATCGATAAAAGTTCTTTACACGCAGGAATCGAACTCAGGTCTTCTGTGTGCCATGGAAAAGCGCCTAATTGCTGCAGCACAGGTGCTGGTTATGACTTTCTACTGTTTGGGCAGTCAGGTTTAAGCAAAGATTTGTAATTTTTAATACGATGATGATTTTATCAGTAGAGGTTAAAAAATGGACATAATATGGAAACAAACTAGGGATTGGAAATAACAATAGAATGTATCACTGTCGCTCTCCAACCACACACTTTGGCAATGCCGTAGCAATAGTGCACCTCCCGCTGTCATACCATTTTTGTTGAATGTATTTACGCTTATAACCCCCCCCCCCCCCAAAAAAAAAAACAAAAAAAAAACACATGCTCTAGGTAAATTCGAGCTGATATAGAAAAATGAAAACGACGCGTCACTTTTAGGACATCAAATTTTGTGGTACCAAATTGGCATCATCAGCTGAAAAGATCTGACAAAGGAAAAAGTAAACTTAGGCCTTCCATTTGGAACTTACTTGACCTACTACTCACATCCGAGGTATCATTATGGGGGACATAGTATTTGAGTCGCAGTCACGTTTTGCACGAAAGATGCTTTTAATTCATTTCAACTCTCTTTTGTACCATCTTTTGTTCCCTGGAATTCAGCATTGCTCAACACCTAGTGCCGGTGCACTTGCTCTAGGCATTGACAAAGTTACAAATGGGGGG